GAGACGGTTAAGAATCAAGGATAGTGGACGGTTGGAGTGAAAGGCCCAATCGTGCCGAAAAATCTGAAGGCGCGTGTATGTCAGTGTGTCGTAAATACGAAATTGTGAAAACTTTTTCTTTTTTTTTTTTTTCACCTACCGACCAGTGTAGCGTTTTTTCTGCTTTCGAGAACAGAGAACAGTACGGACCAGAGGAGCGCACGTGCTTTCGTGAAACCGTTTTAACGTCGTCTCCTCTCTTCGGCAGTGATCTCGTCGCGTTTTCCACCTCCCTCTGTCTCGAACGAACGGAACACAAGAGTTCGTCGCGCGATAGGCGTATATTCTTGGCACGACCTACCTTAAGTAAACTTGCACTTTCGTTCAAGCGCCACCGTGCAACACAGGAGGGGCGAAGCACAAGAAACCGAGAGCGGAGGTTCGGCGAGAAACGCCGCCTCCATTCTGTCGCGCGAGAATTGCAAGTGGCTCGTCGTCGTTCACCGCGACTTCCTCGTGCTTTTTCCAGTTGTGTTCGCCGCGTGCCATTCGCCCTCTCTTTTCCCGGCCCTTCCACACTTCCCTCTATCTCTTTCTCCTTCACACTATCCCTCTCTTTCTCGCGCACACGATTCTCGAACTTTAACGCTTCTGTCGATCTTTTATGGTACTCGCCCCCATCGGTCTGTTTCACTTCTTCCTCGGGCGAAGCGGACGACACGAAGCTGCAAAGGCCGCGCGAGTGTGACACCGAAGTTCGTGCATTCGCTGACGACGAAACATGACGCATACGTGAGTGCATTTCGGTACAGGCTAGAATGATATCGAGGGATTCACAACGCAGAAGGTTCGATACACGTGGATACCGTTGTCGTTTCGGTGTGAAGTTATCTCGGTGGTGAGGATAAATCGTAGAGGAACGATATTTACGATTCGCGATCGATCGATGTAATGACCAATGATCGGTAAAAAGAAGAACGTCGCAGCAGGCTAGAGAGCAAATAGATCCCTGTAAAAAGAAACTTACCGCGCGGGCTTTGCTCCTCCGTTGTATATTGACGGTAATTGAAGTTCCGTTTACACGCATCTCGAAGCAATCTTGAGGAAAGGAAACGCGTTACCGAAGGGATTGAAAACGTGTATTCTTAGATGAAATGAACGCGGATCAAGCAAAAAGAGAGCTGGTGTGTATTTCTGCGTGTGGCGCGCGTCATTCGCGCCACAAGATGCGTTCTTCTGGCACGTGTGTATAGCTTCACCACAGTTCCTGGATACAGCACGCCGCCTCTTTCTCACGCTGGAATTAACGAAATCGACATACCACTTTGAACCGGATAACGCGAACCAGTTTAATCACTTGGTTTATTAGTGAACGAATTTTCATCGTGTTCGTTACGTTCGAATATTTGGAAAATCATACGGCGACGATGAAATATTTAGATTTACGTTTACTCAAATAAACGACGACACGCGACAATTGAAACTGTGCCTAATTAACATCTTCTGAACGTTCGATCATCACCTAACCTATTAGACACATTTGTTAACACCATTACCACGGGAGAGGAAATAGAAGGGGCAAGGACGCGAGCAACTGGGACTAATGGACCGCTATCGGTATCCACCTGTGTCTAGCTGTATCTCAATGATAAACCTTTTCTCCACCAATTACGTCATCGGGCTTGCTATCACCGGTCTCGTGGTTGGAAACGTCGAAAACGGGTTGTCGAGTGGTTCGGTGGTCGTACAATCTCCGCTGAAACGGGTTATCGGACAGTCGCCTCCGGAGTCCTTATCGACGATCAACAGAACGGAACTTGCGGTACGCGTGTCGAGCGGTACAAACCACGCGCGCCACTCGTCTACGTTTTTTACTCTCTACCCGGTAGGCGGAGGGTGGTGCGTCTGTTTCTTTTTTCTCGAACGTACGGTAGCGAATCACGGTTGTCTCGTTGAGTCTCGTATCGATGGGCGTCGATCGCGATCTACGACTCCGTATAATACGTTGCCGCGTAGAACGGCCGCTGATTGGTCGGCGCTCGCAAGATTTCCCATCTACCCTTCGCGAGTTAGCCTCGTTCCTTACAATCGAACGATACAATCTCGCATCTCTCGTTGTGTACCGGTGAAAAGCGCGCGTAAACGTGCGACGGAGAGAGGAGATTATATATCGACGAGAAGTTGCAACGGTGATATCGTCACCACACATCGAACTTCCTCAGCCACCTTCGAATTCCACGCACAATATATCGATAGCTTTCTACGGTGGCGTTACGTCACCGGCGGCACGGCGGTTCGCGCCGCCAACGGAAGATCGTCCAGCGTCGCGAGTTTGGAGCGTGTGTGCCACAACGGGACGATCCTCTTTGCTCGAGGCGGACCAATCTGGCATTCGGTCGTTATCGGTGACCGATGGAAGCCGTGCACACCCGACGGGACACGCTGATCGCGCTGGTTACTCTCGGGCACATCGCGCGTACCGTCTTAGTACACGCGCACCACGCGGCCACGTACACGCGCGCGTTCCACTGTTGCTTCTTTTCTTCGTACACACTCCCTGGAATTTCGGCAGTCGGTGACAGTGGCTTCACGAGGAAAGGTAATGAACCGTCCTTAACGTATCGAGTTTAACCAGACGCATTTCTTGTCACGGTGTCTTTATACGTATGCGTATATTTACGAATATGTGTCTGTGTGTGTACGAACGTACGCGTGCCTGTCCTCTCCACTATGTTTACGATCGTGTGTTTTCCGTTGTATGTGTATAAGTCGTATACCCAGGCACACATATGTGCCACCGCGTGCACGTATACGTGTCCTGTCCGTCTTTCGATTCCACAGAGGCTTACGCGCACTTCCCGCCTCGAGGTCCGCGCATGCGCGCTCCGCCGTATTTCCCTTTGCACGTGGTCGCCCACACACGTGCGCTCCTTTTTCTACGCAGTCTCTCTGTGTCGCCACGAGGGATGGAAAAACGCGTTCGTAAAAATGCATCCTTGTCTAATTTCACATTCTCTATTTACACACATCCTGTGTTATGCCTTTATTCATCGCGAAACGAAGAAGATTCTCAGCGAGCTGCTGCATAATCGAAAGGCTCGAGCGAGACATCTGTGTGTGTTCTTTTTTTTCCGTTTCAGTTCACTCGCGCGACTCTACATGTCAGCTTACGCGCGATTATCAGTGACGTTTCTCCATGAAATACACACGTGTCGTTTCCGAAATTTCCATACAGCGAGTCCCGTTGTGCGCATGCGCGTGCGCGCGCACACACCAGCGTACGGAATTCTCCCGATCGAGTCGATCGGAATATTAATTTCGAATTCGTAATAGAGGTGGACTTTTAGTGAACCGACCTTCGTCGTTTCTCTGTACATACTTGCGCGATCGTATGGAAACTCCCTCTCATTCTTTCTTTCTTCGCACGATCTTCCTTTCCGGCTTTATCGATCTCCCGTTTCCGTACGCGGACACACGACGCGCTCGTCTGATTCGGTTCGATCTCTCTCGTTCGGAAAATTTCAAAGTCGATCGACCGCCACAGCCGCGTCTCGCGGCCTTTTCCTTCCCACGATCGCGATGAAAAACTCGCCACGATAATTGCTATCCGTGTCCTCGCAAACTTGTAACATATAAACGGAGCGTAGTGTACCTGCAATTAGAACGTGTCGAGTGAAATCATTACGATCTAACGTAATAACGATATACGGATATAACGGATCACCGCTCGATTATTTATACGATCCGACGAATCTTTTTCCCATTCGATTATCGGACAACGTGTTGTTTCAATACGTTTTCACGCGGGCACGTGTCCGGTTGATGCTTTTTTTACAAATGCTCCCCTGTCAGACACGTGAAATACACATTTCCCGCTGCGTGATCCTCTTCTGTCAGAATTCTCCTCTCGTTTCTCTCCGCCCCCCGTCATCTGTACGGGAATATATTGGCCAGGAAAACGCGTGTTAGTCACGTGCTAAAGCCTTAAGGCGAACAGATATACCGTTTCACGTTTTTGCCTCGTTTCTGACCTGGAGCGAGAAGGGACGAGTAAAGAGGTTAGGGATGAAAAATCGAGGGTCGGCGAGGTATTATGTCGGTTGTTAAAAAAGGGACGTTTGGTTTATCGTGAAATGTTGTTCGTAGCTGATTCAGCCTGTTTCAGACGCGAATGTTGGTAAATAAATGTGCAGAACAAATATCGTTAAGATAAGTTCTCTCGAACTTTGGCCCCGGCACGTGGCCTCGCGGAGATGGTCAGCTCGCGATCTTGTAGGTACACAACGTGCAGGACGATAGTAATCGTCCATTGTAACGGTGTCTTTTCAGTCATTCATGATCGAGTGAATGGGAACTCGCCCTAATGAATTCCTCGAGAGGGGCAATGGGGCGTCGTCGCTGCGACGCTCAATGGACGACCTCCTGGTTCGCGATCTTTTCGGACGAAATCTTCGATTATGCTTGTTTTCGAGTATCGTTGGAAATTTTTGAAAATTTGCTCCATTTCATTTCTTAAATACGAGATTTAGAGAAGGACGAATTCCTAGAATTAATAGAAATAATCGATGAATTATGCGGTTTTAAGTAATTAAAACATCACATTTCAGTCGAATCATCGATTACGGTTGTTTCCAAGTATCATTGGATATTAGAAAGTTCTGCAGGTGAATCGATGAGATTGGAAAACTTGTTCCATTTCTCTCGTTAAAGATGAGATTTACAGAGAAATAAACTTTACAATTTATCATTGATTTTTTCCATAAAAATATTCGATAAATTGTTCTATGTAATTAAAAAAAGAAAATCACATTCGTCTGCTACTTCGTGAAATTTTGATCTAACCTTGGATTATGGTTGTTCTCAAGTCTCGCTAGAAATTTTGAAAAGTTTGATGGAAATTTGAAAACTTATTTTCTCACAGAAATATTTACTACATTGTACTATTCACATATTCGTTAATGTAAACAGAGTAACGAGACAGTCTCTAATGAGCTTCATTACGAATTCCTTAATTGTACTCGCTTACGTGGCACATTTTTCAATCGGTCCACGAAGGAGTATCGATAAACACACCGATAAAATTCCCTCGATATTGTTCCAATTGTAACGAGCTCCGAATTACACGAGAGCCTCGATAAGAACTTGTTTAGTACAATAGTTGTGTCATTGAGCAAAACCAAAAAAAAAAAAAAAAAAAAAAAAAAAAACGACAATCATCCTGCTAATTACAGTATCGCGCAATCTGTCTGCGAAAACGCGACTAAGATCGTCTATGGTGATAACGAAACACGAAACATTCGACGATTCTATGCGAGATAAAACGAGAATTTGACGAAAGTATGCTTATCGATCACACTCGTGCTAGACGAGGATCTTTTATCGCCGTATCGAAAGATCGATCGGAAAGTTGTAAGGTCTCGTTTCAGCCCAGAAACACAGATGATCGATTTCTTCTCGAGTATTTACCAGATTTCTTCGCACGGAGATAACGTTATTCACGAGGATCGTTAAGGTTTGTTTGTTACGATAATGGAGCGTTATGGATATCGTTACGGTTAGAACGTGCAAATATTAGCACTCGGCGACGTCTGATTTATCGGTTAAGAAGGCTGATATTTATACACGATATCGAACAACCGCGTCGCATATAATTTTCCATTCCTCTATTATTCCAAGTGTGGAAGTTGCGCGAGATAAGGGCGAAATGTGTTGTGTCTTCTGGCAGAACCGGGCGAAAATTCTCTCGATAACGGGGCAAGAGAACTCATCGTGGAGTAGTAATAAAGAAACGTAGAATTTTTCTGTGATCCCTGGGATTAATAAATTTTAATTTTGTTAAATTCTCGAAAACACTTGTGTCTTCTCGCAAAACTGAACCAAAATTCTCTGGACATAACGATGCAAGAGAATCCATCGCAAAGTAGTTATTAAAAAACGTGGAATTTTTCTGTGTCCCTTCAAATGGATGAATTTTAATTTGGCTAAATTCTCGAGAAAACTTGTGTCTTCTCCCAAAGTTGGACCAAAATTCTCTGGACATAACGATTTAAGAGAATGCATCGCAAAGTAGTAATAAAAAAACGTAGAATTTTTCAATGTTCCCTGAAATTAATAAATTTTAATTTCGCTAAATTCTAAAATAAAATTGTCGTCTCTCAAAACTGGACCAAAATTCGCTCCACCTAACGATGCAAGAGAATCCATCGCAAAGTAGATAACAATAAAATTTCAAATGCTGAATTTTTCTGTTCCTTGAAATTAAAAAATTTTAATTTCGCTAAATTTTCGAAAATCTTGTGTCTTCTCGCACAATTGGACCAAAATTCTCTGGACACAGTAATTTAAGAGAATCCATCGCAAAGTAGATAACAATAAAATTTCAAATCCTGAATTTTTCTGTTCCTTGAAATTAATAAATTTTAATTTCGCTAAATTTTCGAAAATCTTGTTTCTTCTCGCAGAATTGGACCAAAATTCTCTGGACATAACGATGTAAGAGAATCCATTGCAAAGTAGTTATTAAAAAACGTGGAATTCTTCTCTGTCCCTTCAAATGGATGAATTTTAATTTGGCTAAATTCTCGAGAAAACTTGTGTCTTCTCCCAAAGTTGGACCAAAATTCTCTGGACATAACGATTTAAAAAACCCCGGAATTTCTCCACGTTCCTTCAAACGGACAAATTTCAATTCCACGAAACTCTCGAAAACGACTAAACATCTCGCAACGCCTAACAAACACGCAAATTAGCAAACTCTCTGTACTCCTTATCAAAGTCGAACAGAAGAAACGACCGATCCTGTCAAACGGCCATTAATCCACATCTCGAATGTAACAACAAAGGAATCGTTTCGAATAGAGCTCGTGCACATAAATCATCGAGTGCTCCTCTTTCTTTGCGATTCCGCAAATTCGTGTCGGTGCTCGATTGTCCGAGCGTTCATAGAAAAATACCGCTCTCTCCCGCTTACTGTGCTCGGCCATCAATTAAAGACGAGCGATGCATGAAAATTCAATTGAAAACCTGACAATTTTCCAATTAGGTTTAATACGCCGGTTAAACCGAATTGAACGAGTCCCGGTCTCCTTAACGAGGGCTTCTTTCCCGCCGTCAAGACGAACAGTTTGTTTCCGCGGCGTTTCCAGGAAGACGCGATGAATAACCTGGCCAGCTGTCGTGAAATCCTCTTCCCAGCGATCGTCAATTCGTCTCGTCGTTTGTCACTGGAAATATGCAATTTTACGAACAGAGAGACGTTCATTTTGCAAAGATTTTTCGGACGAAGTACGACAGATAGGATCGTTCTAGGCGGAACGCGAAAGAAGAAAAGTAGACGTACGACGTTTTGTTCGTAGAGGAGAATATTGTTTCAAGGAAGCTAATCGTTGTCCCTTACTTCTGGTTTAGAAGAAACGTTTCACAGAACAACTGTTCCACCAGACATTTTACTAAACGATTAAACTCCTCAACTATGTCCCTTATCTGTGTTACAAGCAGCAGGACAAAGAAAGAAGAAGAAGCAACAAGAAACACTGATTGGAAAAGTTCTCTTAAACAAACACACTTTAGGAAAACTCGGCTTGAACTATCTCTGTTGAC